TGATACCAATGTCGTTGATGAATAAGTTCAACAGGAAGGGACACAGCACATCCTGTCGTCGTTCACTTTGAAATATGTCAAACACTCCCAAAACTTGTTCGTCTATAGAACGGCGAAGCTTTGGAATTTTTTGGGAATGGAAGTATTCCCAAGAACTTATTACATCAAAAAGTTCCAAAAAATTTTGACACCTACCTCCTCTCCCTATCCTCCCTAGGTACGCACGATGTTCCACGAACATTATAGGAATCTCCTTTCGTGCTCCTCAAGAGATGAAAAAAATTTAAAAACTAATTTTTTTTGTAGTTACTACAATATGGTTCAGAATGATTTTTTTTTGCTTTTACAAATTGCATTATTTTAGAAGAGTAACTTATCAGTCCCGGTAGTAAGTAGAGTCTGACCAGGTTAACTTTGGGACAGCACGTGGTCGCGTATGCATTGAATATGCATATGCGCTGAGTCAGGTGGTGCCCCAAAGTTAACGTGGTCGGACTCTACACAGGAAATCCAGTTGATTCTTCAAGTTTATTTACTAGATTACTAGATGGTTATGGTTACTTTATCTTGGGCCTTGAGAAAATCCGTGTAAATTGACTTGATCTGATTGTCATAGTGAAGTCTTATAGTGAAGGCTAACATAACTACTAACTAGACAGCTATATGTCATATCCCATAGGGTCTATTCTCGAATCCATTAAATTCAATTCGTATACAAATAAAAGAGATGAACTTTTGTATGTTGGAGTAAAATAAGAGATCAAATTCATATACAAATGAACTCTTGATTGAATTGCTCTCCTGAAAACGCTTCCGCTCAATGCGCAGGAACTCCCAAACTCCCATTTATGACATCGAGTCATGTCTCTTGGTGTTCAGAAACAAGTAAGATTGAATAAGATATATATGAGAGGTCCTGAATGCGCATGCTCCATGGAACCAACTTCGATCTCGTAAATGAATGAGCTTTGCTCTAAGGGCATTATCGGTCTAATTTGTAATTTATGTTGGTGGAACTGATACTTGAACAATTATATATGTTATGCATCGAAGAATAATTACGGAGAAAATATATTCTCTATAACATTCATTGAAGAATAGTTATCTCTATCATTATCTAGAATCAATTATTGGAAAATGAATCAATGAAAATTTGTTTTTTCACCACTATCTATAGAACCTATCATTATTTACTCCTTTTCTAGGCGTAAAGTGTATTTTTACTACCAACTACTACTCGAATCTAGTCGGTATTTAGAATTGAAAAAAAAGTGCTTTCATAGTGACAATAGATCCATATTTCAGTATCACAGAACTATAATGATTGAAATATTGCTAGTGGTGATATAATCTTGGTCCCTGGGTAATAATGATATTCTTTACTACCTTGGTGTAGGAATATCTATTAATGAAAATATTTGACTCACCGAATAAACAATCATATTCCTGACGCAGAAGGCATATTTAACACACAGATCCCCTATGATTTTTGGCCAACTAAACATCATTTCTATTTTCGTTAAGAGGTTCACAAAGGATATTATTCTTCGAATCATAACAGATATAATTCAATATTCTGTGGTATTAGCCAGGAAAGTAGTTGTTTTCTGTTAAATATTGAAACGCTAGTCATTGTACATTTTCAAAAAAAAATCATATTAGGAATTTTCAATATTGGATAGATATAATTCAATAGTCTGTGGTATTAGCCAAGAAAGTAGTTGTTTTATGTTCGAAGTTTCAGCAATGATTTGCTTATTTCTCATAAAACTCATTTTCAACCAAGCGGTTATTTGGACGATGGAAGAAAATGATTATAGATCTTTTATATAGAGATTGACAATTATTAATCACAGCATATTCCACAATCAGATATTATGATATAAACAATTCACACACACCAAAAATTATAGTTCAGTGGAACTAGGAAAATTATTTTGAAAGTGCAATTATTTTTTTGCTTACAAAAATCTAATCCTAGAACACGCGCGCATGACTGTCATCGTGGTAAAATTTTCGTAAAATCAGTTCATAAATGTCATTTAGTTTTAGTTTTGTACAATCGCTCAAAAGTGTGTCTGAAATCTTCTTCATTCCTTTTATTGTTTTTAAATGCAGAAAAAGTATTTTTTTCAATGTATATCAGTCACTGTCTGTCTCAATCACCACTGCTCAATCGGGATTCGGTAATGCTCCGAACTGTTCCGAACGAACTTTCGTAGACAGGTGTGGTAGCCAACTTCAGCAGTCAATGATCTCAGCTACTCAGCTCTTCATGGTATTTTTATTAGGTCAACAATGTAATCAAACTTCTCTACTCCTTTTTCCGCCTTTTTCAATTTGAGTTCAAAAATGGTCAATTGTATTTGTGCCACAGTCCATAGTGTAAGTTGATAAGTTTTGTGTACGAAAACTGAATTTGTCCAACTATTAATGGTATTTTTAGATTAAGCAATAACTGAAAACATATCTCCTTGGTTCATCAATCTCTCCTTATAGAAAGATTGAGAAACTGAAAACCTAATGTTTGGCGAAGAAAGAGATATAGAATATTCATACTGCCTGGTAGTTACGTGTTCACCGAAATTCATCAAAAAGTTGAGCGAATCAGTTTTTTTTTCATGACTAAACGAAAAACGTGTATAATATTTTCATTTTGTTTATCGATTGTCGAAGTTTATTCTGAGACAGTAATCATTTGCAATGTTTTTCAGTCATTATAGTACCGAAGAACTGAATAAAGTATTCTGGAAGTGCATATTTTTCATTCCTATTACAATCTAGTCGTCATGATCACTAGTTTGATAGCTTTTTTGTAGAATGTTTGAAAACTCTTGATAAATGTCTTTTAGTTTCAGTTTTGAACAATCACTCAAAAATATGTCGAAATTTACCAAATTCGATGTATTACTTTCAAATCAAGAATAAGATTTACATTGTCCCAATGTTGTGTCGGAGTTACTTTCACACCTTTCAACCTCCACTAGTTTGTGTTATTAAATAAATTCTCGCATGCAGTATTGCATTGCAATGTGATTCCATATTAATAATGTCTTGGTAAGAAAATATCAGTTCATAACTTGGAAAGGAGTGATTAATGCTAGATTCAAATGCTAAAAACATTTAATGTTGGAACAAAAATTGATATCTCAGTTTAGAGTAAACAATATTCTGCGTAATTTCCCTTTCAGAAAATCACCGGTCTACCATTCTTCTTCCATTTATTAATACATTGTTTGTCAAGCTATTGTAACAACAAAAAATGGCCTGTAAAATCACCACCGACAAAATAGGGCGCATTAAATGGCGCCTAGACAAAAGATCAGGAGACAGCGCCTGGACAAATGGACGTTTGGGTCACTGTAACATTAAGGAGCCATGTAAAAACAAACGATAAGATTCCCACAAAATGAAGTTTTTACATTTACCATGGATTTCCATCAAGTAACGGCCGAGTCAATTCAAAAAATTAAGGAGCCACTTTGAGTTTAGGTCAGATTATTTGTAAGATATTTTTCTTCAGATGTTCCGCCGACAAGAAATATCAGTGGTGAAGAAACATATCCTTACAAATATCCTAAGCCTTACCATGTTTAGCAATATTGGCTTTCCGCGCTCTCATTTGCTGAACGCCATTTTATCGCAGCGCTGCTTTTTATTCCAGTATTTCATCACAGTTTGCTCAACTTTTATCAAAATGATTTTTTACAAAAAATTCTTTTTTTTTTCATTATCATCTTCTTGATAAGATACCAGCTATCACTTGCATGTATCTCCTTCACACATGTCAAATTTTCTTTGTCTATGTTTCATATAAATGGATAATAATAAATCTCTCAATGAACGTATTGGCCTATGAATTTCTTATTACCAAATTATCTTCTATGTTGTTTTTATCCAAGCTAGGTTTGTGTTGTGAAACTCGATACAATCCCAAAGTATGAAAATGTTTAAATAAAATTCTGAACGAAATATCAGCGAATATTTTCAATATTCTGAAGACAGTATTTGATGAAAACCAGCCCTCGATAGAAAACAATACATCAATCCAAATTCACCCTCATAATTCATTTGATCTATTTAAAGAGCTTACATTTTCCAACTAATATGTTTCTACTCATATTACATACCACAATATCGTAAATATGAATTTATCTACTACCAATATGTAATGTGAAACATTACAACACTGATTTCAGTTTCGTAATCTATACTTTCGTGATCGGAATTTATGTTGATGAATTTCTATCTCAAATTGAAATGAACGCGTCAAAGTTGACAGTTCGCAGAATGAGTGACAACTGAGAGCACAATAGATTCACAAGTAAACGCCCAACCCTTGCAACCCTCCCTTGTTACATATTCCTAATGAATCGTTGATTCAAGGAATATTAACTATTTTTTATTAAATAATTAGCGTTTTTTGTAGTAGGTAAAATATTGTAGGATATTCATATCGTGAAATCATATTACGATAATCGACGGGTCATTCCCCATCTCATGTCGTAATATGGATCTTAACGATACTTGTATCGTAAATATCTATTACAATATGTATATAGTACAATACAGGATCCGGACAAGTCGCCGAATGTTCGGTCAATACGTCGAACCAGGTCGGTGGACACTTTGCCGCCATTATGCCGAAAAACACCAGTGGACAAGAAAGTGGTCATGACGCCTAAACAGCTTCTTGAGTATATCACCGAAAATTGCCATTATGTCTAAACAGCTGTTCAGAAATTTCGTCGAAAGTGGTGAAATTGCCGAAATAACTTTAGTTTTTCTTCGTTTCTCGCTTCGAACTTGAGAAATGAAAAAAAATTGAACCAATCATTTTTTCGTGAATAAACCTATTGAGAAAAACAAAATATAATGGTACAAACGTTATAAAAAGTGTGAAGGATGTCAGGATTGACGAGGAAGTTGAATACACTCTTACGAACTATACATCTGCATTTTCTATCTCAAACACCTCATAGATTTTTCCTCTCCAAAAGGTATCGGCAACAGTGGCGGCGGCAACATGATAATGACCAGCAGCAACATCAGCGCGATGGGCGGCATGGCGGGCGGCGGTCTTGTTGTCAGCAGCAGCGCCATCAACAAGCCGCTGGGCAATTCGGGCAGCATGTTCGCCCCGACCGGCCACCCGCAGCAGCAGCAGCATCCGGGCAACCACAACGTGCCGCAAGGGCTGCCCAACGGGCCGATGATGAGCAGGGTGGGCATGCACATGAGCCAACGGACGCCCGGATCGATCCACTTCGGCGGGCCGCGGTTGCAAGGGCCGGCGATGCCCGGCAATCCTGGGTATCCGGGGTATCCTAATGCCGGCGGGCAGGGGTTGCCTGTAGGTGAGTTGAAACCGGGAAGCGATTTTACGTCATATCTCCAAACATCAGCGATAAGGATACTGAACAACTAGTTACAAATAGTAACGCAGCTTCTGAAGAATTCAATAAATATTGTTCTCAAAATGGACTTCAACTTAATGTTACAAAAACATTTTTCATGTGATTCATACCATGAAATGTATCACCAGATTATGACCTCTACTTACATATTCAAGGCAAATCAATTCAAACCACAGACACTTTAAAGTTTTTGGGAATCACACTTGATCCAAAATTGACATGGGAGCCACATATAAGCAGAGTTTGTTCTAAACTAAGTAAATGCTGCTATATAATTAGAAATTCAAGAAAAACAGTATCTTTTGACTACTAAGACTGTTGTATTTTGGCCTGGTACAATCAACTTTTCAGTATGGACTGATATTTTGGGGATCATCAACACATTTTGAAAAAGCTTTCATCGCTCAGAAAAAAATCATAAGAACCATGTTCAATGTTCATCCATCGACTACCTGTAATAATCTCTTCACTAGAGCACAAATAATGACTTTACCTAGCCTATTTATCTATTGCTTGGTTGCTATATGCTAATGAGCATAAGTTTGAGAAGAATGAGGATATACACTCGCATAATACAAGATCAAAATGTGATATTCATCAAACTTACTCACGTTTACAAATATGTCAAAATTCACCTAATTACATAGGAATCAAAATATATAATAAGTTTGAACTTATATACAAAAATTATGAAAACTGTAACATATCATTTGAGACTAAACTTAAAAGTTTTCTACTTGAAAATGCATTCTATTCCATAGAGCATTTTCTTCAGTTTTGAAATGGTTTTACTTATTTTTTAGAAACAACAGGATCATGATTATTACAGAATCCTGTATTTTTTTATTTGTGTATTGAACTCATTCCAGAGGGCGTCAAAAGTGATTCATTGGAGGGGGGCTAACATTTTCAGTCTCACCAGTTGGAATTACTAGAAGGTGAGGCCTTTGTCAAAGTCAAATGTCCTAAAATTTTGTGGGATAGGCCTGAAGGCTTGTTTTTTTTTCTGAAAAAGGCATGTAACCTACTGGTACTGGTACTGGTGGGGGACGTTTCCACGTCAGCAACTAGTCCCCAATGGGACCTTTTTGCCAACCCCAAGTGTTTTCAATGACTGATGTGGTTCGCTCAAGAGAGCTGGCTAACATCCTTTTCAGGCACCGCCCATCAGCTCTCTTTTCAGAGTTTTTCAGCTGTGTTTTGTAGGCTAGTAATGTACTCACTACCATATGCGCAGTGGCAGGCCTGCTAACTATCCTCGTTAACCCCCGAGATCGAGGTCTACTTAAGCAGCTGGCCCGCTCTCACGCTCAGCTGGTAGTTTTCCACACATACCTACATACACCGTCATACTTCTTCTCTGATGCTCACAACCACATCATCATATCTTTCTGCGTGTTCTGTGTAGGCTTTGTTACTAACTCCATGCGCCACTTTAGGAGCAGCACTGTTAATTGGAACGCAACAGCGAATCGTGCAGGACCATCCCCAGCCGATGCTCCGAAATGTGACCTATGTAAACAAATTATTGAAAAGCTCAAGTTATGGTAAGACGTTATCAGTCTTGCATTTTTAAATCTCAATGAGGAATTTTACACACAATTTTTACATTAACAGAGAAGGTATCATAGGAAGAGGCAACATGAAACGAAAAGAAGAAGTATACCTGTCAGTTCTACTAACTTTGATCTCACGTCTCAGTAGTGAGATCTGATAAACAATAATTAAGAATGTTAGCCATCTTTGAAGAGGAATAACCTGAAATGTACCGGCTGAACAACTAAGAACAGCTGTCGGCCATATCTCAGCAAAAAACAATGAAACAACTTAAAAAAAAAAAAGTTACCCTAAAAAAATTGCTGCAAAATATTTTTGAATGTCTGAAATAACCGCTAGGTTGCGTAACGGCTATGAGTATAGAGAAAATTGATATTTTCTCTGTATTTAGTAGTAACAAGGTGTACTGAACATATATGCAGTTTGATCCTTGAAAAATTCCTAGTTCTTTTTTGTTTCTCACTTGGAATGATTGATGTCAGCCGTTTTTAGTTATTTACCCTGTGCATCTATAGTATCATGTTTTAAGAAAATAACAGCACTATGGTCTAGTTATCTCATGCTGCAAAAATTGCAATAGAGAGGCAAACAACTAGAATAGTTTTTGGTAAATAGGCATGTTCTGTTATTCAGTGCCCTCTATTCAACAAAACAGTTAGATATAGCTAAAAAAGACTATCAGTACAGTCTAGTTCAGGCAAGAAGACATTTTAATGAAAATAAGTTATGCTCCACAAATAATTATAGTAAAACAGTTTGGAATATTATAAATTCTGAAACAGGTAGAAATAGTAAGAAGAGGAACAACCCAGATAACTTGAGCCCAGAAGAGATGAACACTTTTTTTATCAGACATGCACACTCATTGGTTGAGTCCTTGCCTAAATGTCAAACCAATTTTGAAAAATTCCCGAATACATCAAGTAAAAGTTCGATGTTTCTCAGAGCAGTTGATGTACATGATATACATGCAATTCTGAAAAAAATTAAAAATAAAAAATCTGAAGACATCTATGGGATCAGTACATCTATTCTAAAACAATGTGCTGATGAAATTTCAGACATCTTGGTGTATGTTATTAATACCTGCTTCCAAGAGGGATATTTTCCAACAAAACTAAAGTGTGCAAAGGTTTTCCCTGTATACAAAAACGGGCCCACTGATCAACCTCATAGCTTTAGACAGATATCAATTTTACCTGCTATCTCGAAAGTCTTTGAAATCTCTCTTTATGACCAATTACTAAATTACTTTCACAAACACAACATCTTTACTAATCATCAATATGGATTCCGAAAACATCTTTCAACAATTGATGCCATCAAGTCCTTAACAGATTCCATTAAAAATTCCTTTGAAAACAATGAGAATTTCCTTGGAGTTTTTACTGACCTAAGTGCAGCTTTTGACTGTGTTGAACATGGCATATTAATTAGGAAATTAGAATATGGTATCAGGGGTGTAGCCCTTAATATAATTGCTTCATACCTGGGAAATCGAGATCAGAGAGTTATGATAGGAAATGAGCTAAGTGGACCCCAACAGATAATTAGAGGTGTACCCCAAGGATCGGTGTTGGGTCCTCTGCTATTTCTAATATACATAAATGACTTACCAAATGTTTTCCAGAATAAAAAAATAGGTACTGTTCTATATGCGGATGACGCCACTTTTGGTATTAATGTACAAAGAGGAGAGGACCCAACAACTATCCAGAAGGAAATATTAGAATCTGCAAGATCATGGTTCGTCCCAAATCAATTAGTTCTGAACGAGAAAAAAACTAAGACACTAGTATTTGAATCCAGAATAACTAAAATCGATGACATCCGCAATGAAGATACTTACACAAAATTTTTAGGGTTAAACATTGATGTAAGGGTCATGTGGAGTACCCATATAACACAATTATGCAGCAGATTAAATTCTGCGATATATGCTATAAAAAAAGTGAGACAATGTATAAGCAAGTCAGCTGCCATAATGACCTACTATTCCATTTTTGAATGTACCCTCAGGTATGGATTAAATGTCTGGTGCTCAGCTTCCCAAGTACATCTACATAAACTTTTCCTGACACAAAAACATGCCATAAGAAGTATATTGAATGTGAATAGAGAGGTCTCCAGCAAACCACTGTTTATGGAACTCCAATTAATGACACTTTACTCTCTAATTGTATATGAGAAATTAGTAGATGTGAAGAGCAACTTAAATACTTATAAGGTACACTCTGATGTTCACTCACACAACACCAGGAAAAACAACAATTTGATACTGCCCCTCACACGCTTAAAAAGATGTGATGACATAGGTGTCAAGCTTTTTAATTCATTGCCCTCTGATTTTCGTGACTTGAGATTCAACTTGTTCAAAACAAAGCTGAAAAATTTTTCAACAGCGAATCCTCTCTACAATGTGGAAGATTTCCTTATACTTATGAAGAGCAGAGATGCCCTCCTCTGATATGTATCTATGTCTCTACTTTTACTTTTAATTGTATCCATATTTTTTTTGTAGCTTCATTCTCTCATCTATCATTTATTCATTCATCATTTATTCATTCATACTTCATTATGTATTAACGTATGACGAACCTAATACAGTGTACTTGCTGTTCAAAAAGGAAAATAAAGTGAATTTGAATTTGAATTTGAATATTTGCCCATTTTTTTGTAACAACCTTTGCGTATTTCAGCATAAATTAAATTTTTGACCATTTTACATAAAAAACATTCTTCCGTCATTTCAGTGAGATGAACTGTATTTTATTTCAATCCATACAAGCAATGGTATTTGTCAAATTATGCATAATATGGGAAATTAGCCTGTTCCAGTGAAAAATTTGATTTCATTATTTTGAAGTACTAACCTTAGGTAGTTCATTGTCGCAAACCTTTTTTCCCCAAAGCCCTGTACATTTTTTAAATAAATATTGAAATTCATATTTCGTGACATGAAAATCGCGGGAAAACGCGAGACAAGTGAGACAAGTGCAAGAATCAAAATATGAAAAAAATTCGCCGTCTCAGTAGGTGCTCGCCCTAGACTCGGGAATTTTCTGGACTGAATACTTACTGCAGATAACAGAGAACCCAACACACAACTGAAGAATCAGAAAATAGAGGAATATTCGCATCTTGACTAGATGAAACAAGGATTTTGAGATGAAAGTGACTCTGGGCATTACACTGTTGCCAGTGCCACAAAATAATTTTGGTCTAAATAAAATCTTGATCATTAGCAATACTAGGATATTTTTATTGGTACTGAAGCATCTTACAAGTATATACAGGGTTGGGAAAAAGTATGGAACCAGGTGAATATCTCGGTAACCGTTTGTTAGATTTTTTTGAATATATGTACAGGTTGAATTGGTCTCAATCAAAAATGGTGATTGTAATCGATATGAAGAGAATGGTGAAGTGTTGCATACTTTTTTCCTGACTAATAATATTAGGCTCACTCAAGGTTTGTAGAATTATTATTTGTAGTGGAAGGTTGTAGTGATAAGCAAACCAGGTGAGGAGAAGTGTTAACTTGTTTATGTGAACTATGAATCCAACCTAGCAATGAACCAACAAAACAATACGCAAAACTGGTAAGAGGGACGATATGAATAATTACAGGCCAATATCTGTCCTCCCTATTCTTTCTAAAATTATAGAAAATATCATGAATAATCTTGACTTCTTTGAAAATAACAATCTATTGTACAGTGGTCAATATGGATTCCATATTCTAATTTCGGATATCCAGTCACGGATTGATGAAAATTATAAATGTGGCTTCTTGTCCTTGGACCTATGTAGGGCATTTGACACTGTAGATCATACCATTTTACTAAATAAATTATATTCAATCGGTGTCAGAGGAAGAATTCATGATTGGTTCACAAATTATTTGACAAATAGAAAGCAGTATGTTGAAGTGAATGATACTTCTGGCTCACTACAGAATATTACATGTGGAGTACCACAAGGATCAGTTCTGGGACCAATTTTATTTTTAATTTATATTGATTCAATATCAACTCTGAAATTGAAAGAAAAGCTTAAATTATTTGCGGATGATACAACATTGATTTATATATCAAAAGAATTAAATGATTTCGAACGGGATATTGAAAGTGATTTGGAAAACATCATCTTGGATGCAAATTCATAAGTTGACCCTTAATTATAACAAATCTTCATATATGTATATTTCCAAGAGATAAGTTAATATTTCGATTAATGCTATAATTTTCAACAAAAGATCAATTAAATATACAGACGTGACAAAATTTTTAGGTCTCTATATCGACGAAAAATTATTATGGACTAAACATATAGACCATTTGAGAAATAAAATAAATCCGATCATAGGCATTTCATTCAAATTGGTAAAATACTTGAAATGTATTTACTTTTGCCTCATTTATTCCAATTTGCAATATTTAATTTCTATCTGGGGGAGTAAAAATATTTCACGTTTGAAACCACTGATGAAATTACAAAACAAATCAATTAAGTGCATTTTTCATCTACATTTTCTAGAACCAACTATAAATTTATACAAACCTAGACATTTTCTGAACCTGATTTCGTTATATACACTCAAAATATGTTGCTTTATTCATTTTGCCAGGAATAAATTGAAAATATCAAATTTAGCTTTTAATGAAGTCAATACAGTTTATAATTATGGCACTAGACAATTGAATTACTTGAATAGCAAATACATTTAATTTGATAATCTTTATTTATTTTGAAATTAGTCAAACATTGGCAAACAATCTATTTTTCACAATGGAATAATTTTATACAATTCATTACCGTTGAAAAATGAACATGATGCAAGAAGGTTTGAAAACAATCTTAAAAAATACTTGCTCAAGATAATTTGAATGAAAAATATGTGGCATGATTTGATTACTTAGAAATGAAATATGTATAACTTGAATCTTAAGAAACAATACTAATTCGTTTCCACTGAGTGGAATTCATTAGTTAACCCTTTATTATTATTTTTATATGCATTCATGTATCCCTATCATAAACAGAAATGTTTTTTGGGGTAATAAAGACAATCAATCAATCAAACTTGAAATTTTGAATGCGATTACGTCACGAATTATCACTTCCCCTCACCGCGTTTTCAAAACGAGGCAACATTCCTCTACAAATAATCATCAATTCTACCAACCTTGGGCTCACCCTTCATTTCAAATGAAGAATACTATAACATTCCAGGTGTAGTCACGCCGCAACAGAAGCTCAGCATGCAGGCGCAGTGCCCGCCCCGGTTCGGCGCCCCGCAGACCGCCCCGGTCGTCGGGCCGCCCCCTCCGGGCATCGGGGGCGGTGGCGAGGGCGGCATGGTGCAGGCGCAGCCGCCCGCTCCGTCGCCGGCGCAGCCGCAGTCGGGGGCGCCGAGCGGCGCGCAGCCGACGCCGCAGCAGGCTGCCGCGCAGAATCAAGGCGGCGCGGGCGGGCAGGGCCAGGGAGGGACGGGCGGGGCGCAGCCTCCTGCCCCGTCTACAGGTGAGACAGTGGAATTTGTTTGAACTTGAGTCAGTTGAAAACATATAATATATCGTCCCTCCACCATTTTAATGTTTGAATGAGCACTTGAAATACGCCTTCTTTTTAGAGTGCTGACATATAATTAGTATTTTTCACTGTATGAGTTGAAAATTGAATTTGTATTGAATTCTCAATAGTAACGTATTTTTTTAAAGAGCACATTCGTTGTTTTGGTTTTGCAAAAGAGTAAAAATATGTGTTTTTCGTGTTGAAAACAAAATAGATATCCTTTATTAGTTCCTTTAAAATACCTTTTCAGGTGTAGAACATGTCATTATGATCCAGTATTTAATAATAATAATAATAATAATAATAAAAACAATGAATTGAAATCATGAATATCATACATTAAAAACAGAAGAAAATGTGAGTATATAAATAAATAAGCTTGGTGATGAATCACTCATTGTCTACATCTGTACATCTAATGTCATCAACAACTATTTTATTTGACATAACTTCTGACTTTTTTAAATTAAAAATTAACTTAAATACCTAAAAACAAAAATAAAATAACACAAAAAAGAAAACAACACAAAAAAGAAAAACACACAAGAAATAAAATAAGAAGGTAACATAATTAAAGTATATCCAATATCAATAGCAGAATATCCTACACTGTGCGGCGTCGGCGTGTTTGAAGTTTCCTTTGAAGTGACTGCAGGTGCGGCACGAGATTCTGCAATTGTTTTTGGATGAACTATAACTTCATATTTATGCTGTATCAGTGTCGCATTCAAGGGCATCTGGTTCTGGTAAATTATCCTGAACATTTTTGTTTGTTTTCAAAGCTTGATAAAAATTATGGTATGCTTTGGGTATGGTTAAATCTGTACACATTTTATGTCAATCTTTCAATTCAGCCTCACTAATGGCTAGTGGACCTGTATAGGCGTTGCTTAATACTATATTCTCTTGTTTTGGACGACCGCGACCCCGACTTTTTGTCTAAGAACAATACTTCAATAAACTCTTCAGCATAGTCAGTCTTATAAAATACTTTTGACTGCTGTTCCGTAATGTAGCGAAGGCAGCAAACTCTTCTCCAGGGAATCTGGTTAAAATTGATATAAACTGGCACGTGCTGGATTTCTTTTCGATTTTGGAGTGTATAGAGTCGCACTCCATTTTGGTATGCCCAGTCTCAAAGAACTGATGGTCGATTGTTTTCAAAGTTGGATGATTAAGGCAAAGTTTGAGACACATGCTTGCAAAAATAGAGTTTTTTTTGCTGCCCACCGCATCCATCGGACATCATGCGAACCGCACTGATTTCATTGTGTGACATAATAAAGTCGTATATGCATGATGCAATCTCATTCGCACCCCTTTTACCGTGTGTCTCATTCCAGAGATAACACCTTATGTCCTGATTTCCCAAATTATATACTGCTAGCTTTCTAAGATAAAAAATTGCCCTGCAGACCCTTTTGGTGTAGTCAGTACTACCTGCAGATCAAAGTTGAAAGCTAAAACCTAGGTTATATTCTTTGAATATTTGTCTATACTTCTCCATCCTAACTGGTCTTGAACTTTCTGAATTGCAAATATCTTTGTACATTCTATACATTATAGAAATATTCAAAGATGCGTCCAAGTATTGCTTTGTACTTTTCTTATGGCAGTAGTGTGACTCGACTGCCGGAAAAGACAAAATGTGGTCACGTATAAATTTTTCACTAGTTTCGGGTAACTTGTTTGCAGGCGTATGCTTCCCGCGTCTATCTTTTTCAAGTATTCCGCTGTTCACATTTAGTTTAGCCATGAAAAATTCTCTACACACAGTGAACTTTCTTCCATTGACTGTAAAGTAGTAACTACAAGTATAAGTTTTTCGTGAGTTTTCTAGATTTCATGTAGTGCGTTTCTTTGGATAATGTTCAATGTGGTTGCACAGAAATTGTCTCTGATCATCAGAGCAACTTATACTTAATTATGATTACATATTAAAATCAAAATTCGACCTAATAAGGATTTGCCAATTGTCACCACAATCTAATTCACAAATCACACATGAAAAGGGGCCAATATTTACAAATATTAATAGGCACTATTTACTTTGTTGTTGTTGTTAGTGTTTGATACTGCAATGTTATAGACTGATGTATTTGTGTATCATCTAAAGTGTCTGATATACAGGGTGTTCCTTAATGATGTGCTAATATTCAAGGGGCCGATTCTTTGACCCATTTCAAGAATAAAACTTTATATGAACGTATGTAGTAAACGTCCTAACTTTTGAGATACAGGGTGTCATTGATATGCATAGATTATTTTTTCGTCCACCCTGTATAGCTTTCCGTGATGACCAAATTCAGTCTGCTATGTCACTCAATCGGTATACAAATTTCAAAATTTTACATACTGTGGTTATTTAGTAATGGATGTCCTGAATGGAATACTCAGCAATACAAATTTGAAGTCTAGTCTCGTTTTTCCGTTTTTTCTCGAAAACGAAGCGTTCTATGGCGTATACACAAGAGGATCTTTTTTTTACATAATTGAATAGCCTTTCATAGCATTGTATGAAATTTGAAATTTTTTTGTCGTTGCTCACTTTTAAGTAAAATATAAACAAAAATATTCCCGTAACGGTGCCAGTGGTACAGAAATATTTTGTACACCTTGATGCATAAAAGATGTGTACCAAATTTCATGAAGATGTATACAATATTGTCTCAGTTATTATCTAAAAACTGAATATTTTTCAGAACTTCATCACCCTGTATCTCAAAAGTTGAGACTTTTAGAACATACCTTCATATGAAGTTTTCTTCTTTAAATGAGTCAAAGAATCACCCCCTCAAATATTAGCATGTCTTTAAGGAACACCCTGTATAATGTTTCTGTATAAATTATTAGAATATGTTTCAAAAGTGTTACCAACCACTAAAAGTTTAATAAAGCAAATTTTCAACTAAAAGTTCATGAATCGATGTAATTTACAAATAAATTATTACACCGCGTGCGACGAAGTTATGTCTAAATAAAAGTTGTATAACAAATAATTCACTATTTTTGAAAACCTAGAACAAGAAGAGCTATTGCTGAAGGGATAGACACCGCATTAGTCAGAAACTTGAACTAACGAATCGATTGATTCAAACTCACTACATTAAGTTGCAAACATATTCCATCAGCTTGTACATCACTAATTCTAATTACTTGAACAATGGCGCAAGGTCATCAAAACTGACAGTTCTTTCAACATCTGCTTGTAAGAAAGGAATTCCTTTACCTAGGCTTCAACCCGAAATGTTTACAGATCCAGAAAAACGGAAGCTCATCCAACAACAGCTCGTACTCTTGCTGCACGCCCACAAGTGCCAACGTCGGGAATCCCAAGCGAACGGAGAAGTGTGGTCGTGCACTCTGCCCCACTGCAAGACCATGAAGAACGTCCTCAATCACATGACCACCTGCAATGCGGGAAAGAGTTGTTCGGTGGCGCATTGCAGCTCGTCGCGGCAGATCATCAGCCATTGGAAGAATTGCATACGTACCGATTGCCCTGTGTGTTTGCCTTTGAAACAGGCAGACAAGAATAGAAATAATCCTACAGGTTGGTATTTTTTCCTATGAACAGTCCGCTTACAGGAAATTCGTTCGTTCCAGTTGCTCAACCTGTTGATGTTGATTATTTACTAAGGTTATATCCCTTTATCGCATGATGTAACCTCAGAAAATATCAAGCTCAGTAGGTTGAGCAACGAACTGGCGTAAGGATTTATATTCAGTTGATGGTGAAATCATTAGGGACTCATTGTGACTAGTAACCAATGTGTTTTGTAGTTGTAGTGTCTAAACATTGATATAATAGACAGGAAAACTAATTTGTGAATTCAATTTATATGTTCATATAACTGGAATGTAACAACATGATGGATACATTTTTTTGATTAAATATAATACTTCAAATAAACACCATCAAATACTCAATAATTTCATGGAACCACAGTGTTCAAAGAAAAACTCATGTAAACTGATGAGTTGATATTGATTGATGTAGTAAATATCACTAATATTGGCTTCACCCCAATTCTACAAGTTTATAGCTGACATGATTACTAATTGAGTAGGTTGTCGCACGTCTAGTTTCAATCAGCAGTGACAAAATTCGGTCTAATCAGTTATAATGCGTTTATACTGAGATTTATTCAATCTAGGTTTCATGTGAGAGAGGCGAATACCGCCCCTGCACTGCGGGTCTTTTGTGGTTTATTCAATCTAACTTGGTATACTTGCTATTTTAATCAACCTCGAATTCTGATGATATCACTAATATATGTGTCAAAATATGTCACAATCCGAGATTTTCGTTTTTTCTCAACTACCAATAAACTGTTAGAGCGTTTTAATACTTGTGACGTCAGTACCGCTGACGATTTTCTGTCATGTTCTAGCGGGATCATTTCTTTCCAAAAAATCTGTCTTCTCATCGTGATGAATGTGTTCTTGCCTACTGATACAACAATTCCTTGATTTCACATCACGGCTAACATGATCTCACTCGAAACAAAATCGATTCCAGCCGCCACAAACCCACCTCAAAAAATGTTGTAGTATTATTCCACACATCAGTGCTCTTGGTTATTGATACAAAACAATTCCTTGATTTCACAATCACGGATAACATGATCTCACTCGAAACAAAATCCATTCCAGCCGCCACAAACCCACCTCAAAACAACCAATCTCCAAACCCGTCCGCCACCGATATGCGCCGAGCGTACGACGCTCTCGGCATCCAGTGCCCCACCACCGGTTCCGGCCCTGCCCCGCCCGGCCTCCTGCCCAACCCCGGCCAACCGAGGCCGCCCGGCCTGCGGCTGCCTCTCAGCGCCGGCCCCAACCTGCCCAACAGCATGGCGGGCGGCGTGCGAGTGCTCGCCCCTCCCGCGCCCAACGTCACTCTGCCTCTCGGCGGCGACCAATCGCTGAGCGCGGCGCAGATCCAGGGCGTGAACCAGACGGCCGCCAGCCTGCAGCAGAGCGTCAACAGCGTGATGTTCGGGCTGACGAGCGGGGCGGACGCGGTGAATCAGGGCTTGGGCGGGCTGCAGCCCGGTCAGGTGACGGCGTCGCCGGTGAGCGGCACCAAGGAGTGGCATCAGTCGGTCACGCCCGATCTCAGGTACAGTGACTTTATTTTCTATGGGGGCGGCAATGCTGTGTCACCTTTTCTGTTGGTCGATGGAAGTCCGCCATGTTTTGGCGAAATTTGATAATTTGAACTTGTGTGGGAAATAATTGTTTTTTTTTTGTTTTCGGTGTTTTCTCACATGCATAGGTACCAAGATGGCGGCAACGAACAGGTCGCCAGTAAATGCTGTAAACGCGGAGTCTAAAAACGAATGTAAATACTGTAACAAAAACAGTAGTTGTAAATTCAGTGAGGTGTTAAAAATGCGTGGAAATATTCCATTCTAGTTGTCTACTACAATTAGCACAGATGAAATATGCATTTTCTCCGCATGAGATGAAAAGTCCTCCTGAACAAGAACAAGAACAGGGAAACGACTCTGTATGGAGTAGAAAATGAACTAATATGTAAGTTATTTCATGAAATAGAATCAAAATGCGAAATTCTCAGCAAAAACTGCAGTTTGTTGAAAGATAAAATCGCATTTCTAATAGAAAAACTGAATGGATATGATGTAAAAAAGGACAACACCAGCAAAAACACTCATTATGATTAGGTCAAATACCAATTTGAAGTGTGCAAAAGATGCCAACTACTAAATAACGAATCAGCGTCGCAATTGCCTACAAAACCAACTTAAATTGTCAAACTTTTTCATTAATAAAGGAGTAAATGCAGCAATCCTGACATTGATACCAGGAGCTGACATCAAAACAGGTATCAGCTGCTGTGCAATTTGATCATAGAAACATTACTTTCAGTAATTGGATTAATCATCATTGGAAGTATGAAATACTTGGTATTCCTTCCTGAGGTTTACTTGGAAGAGAATTCATGTTTGTTAGATATCACCTGGGTGATGACCCAGGTAACACGGTACTCTCCGCGATATCTCTAAGTAGTTATCTTTAGGATCAAAATGCGAAATCCTTCTGCGAGGTATCAAAGATCACTATAGGCTGTCACCATGGGAAATACTCTCTGGAGTCGTCCGAAAGAAATCGCAGAGATCTCACCTCAGATTTGAGATATTCCTCATTATTGCGAATCCTTGAGGTTATCTATAACAGGAAATGAATAGGCATTTCGTTCTGCGAGCACCCAAGGATATCCTGGACGTAACAAGATCGAGAATTTCCCATTGCGAGCTCCTAAAGTAATCACAAACATAACCTGAATAATTAATGAATATTCCTACAAAAATATTGAGTTGTTTTTTCAATAGCCTTTATTATTCAAATACTAGGTGTCCCAAGTTATCGTTTACAGGCAATATCTCGCCTATTTGTCAAGATATCAAAAGCATTAAAAAACTGCATTAAATGGCATTAAATAACCTTCCTAATGGCTTATGAAGAATGTGATATATTTGGCAGCCCCCGGATGGTAGATACTGAACTAGTAGCATATTGTCTCTGAGAATTGCGTGTCAATCTATTTGGAATACAACGATATAGCACATACTTTGTGTTTTGTTCTTGATAACAACAAAAACATGAACATTTTGTGACTTTTTTACGTTACTCAAATGACAAATTGCTTTCACCCATGTGTTCAAGAAGTTCACAAATAAGAAGTATGGATTGCATTTTTGTTTCAAAATATTAATGACAGATATTCCATTTTGAACTGCAGAACATCAATCATTGCAGACGGTACCTACCTAGTGTAATAATTAATCAAATTTCATTGTGGGACATTTTTACGAACATGGGAGGAGGCAATTTTCAATCGATGTAACGTAAATGAGGTCAAAAAATTTTATTGTTAATGTTGTTATTAATGAACAAAATACAAAGTACCGATGTGCTATCGTTCATTCCCGAAATAGGATGATTGGCAATTTTCAATGACAATATACAGGGAGTCCATTAAATGAAAATTGAGGAGTTGCTACCAGGTGGCTGTCCAATCTTATACACTTTTTTTTTGAGTCATAAAGAAAGTTATCTGATGTCATTTGAAGCATTTTTAGTATTTTTTGTTCATCTTGTCGAGTAAGCAAGTTTTTGCCGGTAACTTTACGATAACTTGGGACACCCAGTATTAACATGAAATGGGAGTCATTAATCTATGATAATAATAATTGTATACTAGATACTAGATTTTCTTAGTGATTATTTCAAATTTTGCAGTGAATTAATGATAATTAATTATCTGTTCTGACGAAAAAGACAAAAATGTTCTAATTCAGGTGGGATCGAGAATCAAATATCTTCCTCAAATTCGTGGGTAGATATCGGACGACCTTTTTTTTTAAAGGATACCCGGCCAACTCCTCGGAGATTTTTTCAAGTGATAAAGTTTATTTGATCAATGTCTTGCTATAGAATAATATATAATTAAAGCTCATTACGTTGATCTAACTCTAAGTTTGGTAACTCAATCTTTTTCGCTGAAATAAATATCCAGTAAATTTAACTCCACCCCAAACAATATAGCTGGCGCTAGTTAGACTTCGCCGACAGGAGACTGCTGATAACCAATGACTTCTCAAACATTGAACACCTTACCATATTAGTGGCGATCATGTGGCGATTGATGCAAATATCGCTCTTAAAGGCCTCGTTATTAGGTGATGTGCACGGATTCTTGAACAATTTATAGTTGCGAGCACTTGAAGAGTTCGCTATTAGTAATTGATGCGAATTTCCCAAAGTTCTCTTCACAAGGCGATGCGTGCGAAAATCTCAAACAGCTCGTAGTCGCGAGCACTTAAAGACCTCGACAGAAGCAATTGATGCGAATCTCCCAATGTCCTCGTCACAAAGCAATGTATGCGAATTTCTCAAACAGCTCATGATTGCGAGCACTTTCAGTTATCGCCAGTGGCGATGGAAGCGTATATCTCAAAGTGCGCGCCTGAGGGCATTGTATGAGAATTTCTGCGTGCGATATCTTCAAGACCTCGCTGAGCTCAGCCTAGGTGGCGGACATTTGGCATAGATATAGCACTCTCGGCGATCTCTCAAAGAAGTTACAAAAGGCATCACAATTTCCTAAAAGGATTTCTTTAAGATATCTTTAGGACCTCTTTGTGCTGGCTGGGGAGTGAAATTATTTGCAAAAAACGAAAACAAAAATTCAACTTTAACGCCCTCTTTTTCCACAGCAATATTTTATTGAGACATTTGTTCATATTGCCATATTTTGGTCCAGAAAATACGCCCTTAGCCTATGTCCCAATAGTTATGACTCATCCTGTATACCATTGCAGTTGCAGCAGGGATTGAATAAAAATGTTTACCCTAAAATTTGTAGATGTATTCATTTTCCTTCCATTGGGAAAGCTCCACTGGTAAGTAGTTATTTGTGAAGAGTGCTTACCTATATATTTGAGAGTCTTTCATTAGAGATCTGAATTAGATCTTTGAATTCTCCATCGTAGATATGGGTACATACATCATACATCATACTGTTTTCCAATTACACATAAATTACAAAAACTTCTCTAGTTGAAGTGCTGAATACTAGAGAAACTTATTGCATTGTTTTGTACATAAGTATAATATCAATTGTTTACTCAAAAAGTCTAGAAATAGCAATTGAACAGATTGAAACTTTCCTTTCCGCAAAACTTTCAATCCAGAATGTCACACATTGTCATTGTCATTAGACAAAGCCACAGCATTCGACGTTAGCCTAAACATGGCGGCTGCCAGCCCGTTGTCGCCACTGTGGTTAAATCTAGAGTTCCTAGATGTATTTGACACTGCTGTTTTGACGTTTTTTGTATATTAGAGTACGGACACTATGACAAGCACTGACAATCAGACATAATCACAAATGAATTGATGGAAAAAGTGGGAACTGACGGAACACGGACGTACATGACATATATTTCCAAGGTTTGACAAATTGAGAGAATTAGGAGAAAGGTGCAAGTTTGTGCAGTTTCCAACTGAGAACACGGGAAATAAATTCACTCTATTCGAATTTCCATCGGATAACGTAATTCTACAAAGATGGAAACAGAATATGATGCGGCCGGCATGGAATATAGGTTCAGGCCACAAAATTTGCGAGGTATTCTTGGTGGGATATAGAACATTTTTATCAGGTACACTTCAGAACGGAAGATTTGATGTTGGAAAATAGGATCCTTCCTGAATTAACTGACTCAAACAGATTTCCCATCCCTGTTCAACCAAGAATTCTTTGGATCATCTTCGTATACGAACTCTTATGATAATTTTGTGAAAACATGCAGTCACTTTGTGGAACTTTGATGTACCAGATATTGATGTATCTATATCAAAGAGTTGAATATATTGTTCGTGTATCGCTTCTTCAAAGTTGAAATCACAAGTCTGAATGTGCATGTTCATGCATAGTTGAGAAGTGGATTTTGAACCACTTCTTGGGTACCAAGATACGAGCAAGATATTATCAGAGCACAGAACAAGAACGCTTAACGAGTGCACCATTTATGTTATGTTTTGAAAATGATCTTCCGATGGCCGGGTTCAAACCAACAATCGCCTTTAGCAATGTGAACGGCGATCTATAGTGAGTCGAGCGCTGAAGTCCATTTATACCTACTTCCATATGTCTTGGAGAACCATTATTATTTATCCTAACTGAATTCTCCTGTTATTATTGCCATATCATTTGTTCATTTAATAATTACTTATTACCTACCACTCTTGTGTAAGTGGAATTGTTCCATAGGAAATAAAAGTATGTTTCATTGGTTGAAAATTGTCAGTTTTTACCCAATTCTGAACTTTGTGACAAAAAAATTATTCAAGGGAACGTATATAAATACCTACATATGAGAGAACTATTTCATAGGAATATTATATGTATTTCGTTGGTATATAATATGTACATATCAACTTGATATCGACCTCCATTGAGGTCCTTCAGCCTTATCATTCAATATTTCAAGAAGAAATAATTTTCTAATCAATTTATCGTACCCTTTTACCTACTCGAGGAGACGCTATTCACTCTCATACAAAAATCAAAGACAGAGAAAGATATATGGATGTACTCTTCCCAAGACTTGTGAAGGAAGGAAGATGCGAGGATCCTTCATCTAAGCGAGAAACATATTCTTGTCCTTGTCTGACAAAACATGTGATTTGCTTCAAAATCGTTCCTGGTTATGTTTGATTATTGATTGATTGTCTTTATTACCCCAAGAAACATAGTTGTTTATAATAGGGATACATAAACAATATACATAATGTTATACATACAATTATTAAATAATGATGAGATATAACAAGTAAAAAAAATATGCAAATAATCATGCAATATCAACCTTGTCTTCAAATAAGTCTCTGAAGCAGATATTTTTTCAAGTTAATTTTGAATCTAGTTGCTTCCTGTATATTCCTCAATTTACTTGGTAATGAGTTGTATAGAACGATTCCTGCTTGTCTAGTGTCCGTACTCTGATATACAAAAAACGTCAAAACAGCAGTGTCAAGTACATTTAGGAACTCTAGTTGAATCTACTCACTCTAATCTCAGGAACCACCTGGTGCACAAGCTGGTGCAGGCGATCTTCCCCACGCCGGATCCGCAAGCGCTGCTGGACAAGCGGATGCACAATCTGGTGGCGTACGCGCGCAAGGTCGAGGGGGACATGTACGAGATGGCGAACTCGCGGTCGGAGTACTACCATCTGTTGGCCGAGAAGATCTACAAGATACAGAAGGAGTTGGAGGAGAAGAGGCAGAAGAGGAAGGAGCAGCAGTTGCAGCAGCAGCACACGCAGCCCGTGAGGCCGAACCTTCAGGGCAACATTCAAGGTTAGTTTTATAGTATATTCATTCGACTGGATTGCACTGACATGGTATAGATGCGAAATTAAGCTCTGCACTGACTTTGGACATAATTTTGGACATAATTCATTCGTTTCAAACCAATCTAGAGCAGATGCATGTCGATAATTCGAATTATTTTGACACTGTATGGATGAAGTTCAATATTGACATTATGAATATTCCACTTGTCTTGCGGCATCATAAGTATGGAGATATTTTGTGAATAATCAGAGGTTTCTGTGGTGTATAGTAGGTACAATGCAATTTTGTCATTTACTACAATTACCTTGTATTCAAATATTTCATAGCAATTTCTGGGTATCATTAATTTTCTGCTTTCCTATTTCTTCCTACTTTGATTTTAGGAATTCAGAAATATCATACTATTGCTATCGACTTGGCTACTATACCACTGTTGCACGACAATAGGGAATCAATTGCTAATAGTCTTATTACATTCACTTGGGAATCTGAACATAACAATGTAAATAAACTTTCCCAACCTGAAGGATTAGTTACCTGTGGACAGGTTCGATAAACCTCCATTTTCGGAAATTAGGCACAATATCTACATTAAAATACGGTATACCGGATTAACTTGAAAGAGTTGATAGCAAATACATATTATTACTTATTAAGAAAACAAATTCAACAGTGGTGAACTATTGAGGTATAATTGATCATTAAGTAAAATGTCAAAATTTTTGAATTTGTTGATTTCTAATGATTCAAAATGATTGAGTTTCAGTCCTTTATTTTCTACGTATAGAATTTCGAAATTATCATCAAAACTATGGTTTTCTTCTAATATATGGTTGGCGTATGTTGAATTTGTTTTCTTTTTCATTAAATTCATCTTATGTTCATGAATGCGCTGATTAAACGTACGACCTGTCTGACCGACATATACATTTAGAAGTTTTGTCTTTATTATTCTTGATAAACTGTCCCAACGTGTTATTTGTTCTATATGCCACTATTAAGTCCTGTTTATGTAAAAAAGAAGCTATATTTTCAGTTGATGATCCGAAATAGGTTAAAGTTCTATAATTTTGATTATTATTCTTGATAGTAGGACAAATTTCTTGAATATCTTTATGATGAAGTTTTTTAGAAAGAATACTGTCTATCAAATTGGGTGTGTTGAATTCAACACACCCTTATCAATTGTCTATTTTTTTAATAAAATGTCTATGATTGAATTTATTTCATTTCTCAAATGGTCTTGTTCCACCATAATTTTTCATCAATATAGACCTGAATATTTTCTTACCTCTGTATATTTAATGAGCACAACAGCTCGAAATCCATGCTACGCTTTGGCCCGTTTATCTCGGAAACGGTTAAACTTTGAACAAAGATGATGAAGATAATTTTTGTAGGTAATAAACTGCTCTTCTTTTGTGTTCAAACACAAATTGCCCCCAGTGTCTTATTTTGGCCAATATCGGGCAAACCTGATCTTGGGGACCATGGAGCCATTTTCCCGCCCCTCTAGCCTTTTTCCGGTGGACATTTTTCCAGGGAGTTGAACACCTACAAATTTAAAAAAAAATCTGGGATCTATCTGATGTCATGTTTGATACTTTCGATTTAACTAAATTGAAATGTATAACCTTGATATTTTGAAGTTTGAATTGTATTCAATGCAATTATTTTTTTTTTAGTTGTTCTAAACGTCAAAATTTCTTTCACTATGGAGATGGAAATAATTCTGAATTTCTGATTCGTATTGTTACTCTTATGTTTATTCACGTATATTCGAAATTATTAAAGGTAACATAATAACTCAATTGAACGTTCTGATTGGTTTGAAATCATACAAAGAAAGTAATCAAAGAGATAACTCTGGTTTCTCGGGTCACGTCAATTTTTACTTTTCAATATATCCATCACTTTTCTTGGGATATTGAACTTCACTTTTCTATAATTTAACTCTTGAGAAATCTCACAATTACCTATACTGGTTATGTATTCACTGATTGGATAACATACAAGATACCTATACTTACAATTTTTTGAAACAAAACAAATGATACACCATTTGGTTTGAGTTTTCTCATTGCGCCCAAGCAATCACTCGAAGTTGAATTTCAATTTCAAATAATCCAGGAATGGTGGCACGACTGCCGGGCGTATCGGGCAACATCCTACCCTGCCAGCAGCAGCCCAACCAGGCACAGGCGGGGCTGAGAAGCGGCTCGCCCGCCCTCGGAGGCCCGCCCTTGGGCGGTCTCGGCGGGGTGCTGAACCAGCAAGGCAACCGGCTGCTCTTTCCCTTGCAACAGAACGCACAGCAGCAACAACAACAGCCCGCCTCTCAGCAATCGCAGCAGCAGCAACAACAGCAGCCGCAGACCGTCGGGCTTCCGGGACCCAGTCCGACCACATCGAATCCGGGGTTGTCTCCGTTCGGTAACCCGTTGTCCCAAGGTAATAATAATAATTGACATATTTTCCACTTACACATACATACGTCAATTCTGGTAATATAATGAATCGTGATGTCCATAATATTTCAGGCTGATTAGTTCTTTAGCCCTGGAGCTGGAAATCATTTTAATCCCTCACGGGGGTCCTGAATAACGGGTATATGAGTTTGCGACGGATTCTAGGTTATGCTTCAGATTTGGGAAACTTAAAAACCGCGAAATTCTTGCTCTCTATTACTTCTTAACCGATTACTCGAAAAGTACGCATCCTACAGAAAATGCCACACACAATGTTTTCAAAGATAAATGTCACTGTTCTAAACGCTAATCGATGCGAAATTTCACGGTTTTCAGGCTCTCATATCTGAAGCACAACCTAGAAACCGTCGCAAACTTATATACATGTTATTCAGGACCTCCAAGAGGGATTTAAATGATTTCCAGCTCTGGTGCAATTGTTGGAGATACAGATTTTTTTGCACTAATTATCCTGGTCTATAAATGGGTATATGATCAACAGTAACTAAACACACAAGATCTTTTTTTTATCGGATAAATTTCTCTTGGTAACGAAAAACATTTTGTCTAATGTCAGTTTTTGGAGAGAAATAACTGATGGAAAATGTTTGAGTTGATTTATCCAATTAAAAAAAAAGTTCGAGTGTTTTTTGGCAAGATAAATCAACGACAATATAATAATAAACAAAAATATTGATTACCTTTATTGATGATTCCGTGTAACTGGTAGTTTGCGTAATTGATTTTCTCATATTTTCGTGGTTTCTTCAGACGAAATTTTCCTAAAACGGCTCATCTTGCTAATTTACGCGTGAACCATACCCATCAATCAAATTCGACACGACAGAAATTGGAGTGACATCAGGCGCAAATAGCTACAGGACAGGCAGTTTATCAGCGATAAAAAAGGCGCATCATCAAATAGCGTTTTTCATGTAGGAGTTGAATTATCTGTGTTGTCCCAATTGCATTGTTTGTCCCATGTTAACTTTTCATCAATCCAAATACCAAGGTATTTGGTATAGGCAGTTTGTTTCAATCTTTCATTTTTTATTGTAATATTCATATCAATATTTTGTTTATTTCTTTGATGGAAAATTATATATTGGTTTAATTGAGTTAATTTTGACAAGTGTAAAAATTATGCCTGTTCCTCATTGTTACCTAATCGTTTTCGTTACACAGGTAGTACAACAACTTCGAGTCAGTTCCCGACGACGAACAACGGCCCCGTCAGCCTGTCGCAAGTTTCTCCTGTCGGCGGCCAAAATTCCCAGTCGAGCCAGTTCGGCGACATGCTCAAGACCAACAGGTTGCCACCGTCGCCGTCGAATTTCGTGCAGCAGCAGCAGCAGCAACAACAGCAGCAGCAGCAAAACGGCGGACGGTTATCGGTGACAGGCGCGGATTCCGTTCCTGCTACGGGGCCCAAGTCTGTTAGTTCGTCGAGGGGAGCTTCGCCGGCGCCGGCGACGCCGGTGCAGGCGTCTCCGGCGTCGATGGCGGCGAGTATGGGTGAGTTGGTCTTGTGTTTGTAACAAATTGTATGTCATCTATTTCAGGCCGGTTTATCAATCATGATACGGAAGTGCATGCTAGCTGACTGATAGACAGTTATTTCGTTTTTTTCATTTATTGAACAAATAACTTCCAGACAAAATAGGCTCTGGTATAAGGAAGTTCATAATTATATACCTATAGGTAAACATTTCATCATTCAAAATATATCGACAACTATAAATTGGCAAACAAAGAATAATATTTGTAGAAAAAACATTGTAAAATAACATAATTACTTTTATCCAGTTCGCTCAGAAATAATCAGTTTTTTTTACTTCATTTTTTATATTGCCAGGTAGTTTATTGAAATCAGTTGAGGATGAATGAATGGATCTTTTTTGTCCGACTATGGTCATGCGTCAAGATGCGTCTAGTTTCATGATTATGAATTTCAGTATTCCGTATCAGAATAATATTTGAATTCAATTTTTTATTCACGATATATGAAATTTTCAGAGTTTCAATTCTATATATTTCATCTAAAGAGTACGTATTTTTTATTTCATACAATTGATTGGTTGGTGTATTAAATGGGAGATGATACAGTACTTTTAACGATTTTCTATATAATGTTGATGATTTATTGAAATTATTTTCTGAAGATCCCCAAACATTTATTAAATAGTTGATAGGTCTCATTATATGAGAGTAGTGACTCATGTTTGCAATTTTAATATCAAGTTTGGGACATCTTCTCAATGCACCAATAATTGGAGATATTTTCTTTGTCAAACCATCAATATTTTTTTCCCACTTCAACCTGTCATCAAACCAATTACCAAGATATTTTATCTGGTCAGTTTGTTTTGAGAGTTCATTTTGTATAGATTGAGGTAAGTTTTTTGTTTATTTTTTTGGTGAAAAAGCATATATTCTGTTTTATTACTATTTATCGATAAAAGGTTAGAGTGGAGCCATTTTTCAAATACTCTCGAGTCTTCATTTATCATATTTTCTAAATTTGAAGGATTCTTGCTTCAATATAAAAGTATACTGTATCATCTGCATACATGGTATATTTACTCGCTTACTAATAGTCAAAAGTAGACTTTTATTTGATTCATTCTGGTAACGGTGGTGGGAACAGAATTGACGGTTACAAATAAGACTAGAAACTTCAGAGAGAATTGACATCTTAAATATGATAGAGGTTATGAAGGTTATGAAGTTGAAAATCAAAAATAGAAATCGACGCATTTCTGCAGCAATGATTGTGGTGATTGGATTGGTGATTTTGGGAATGAAGATGTAAAGCCTCTCTTACTTGAAATAATCATAAACTTGTGAAGTTGACGATAAACATGTCTTCTAGATGTCTTCTACTTTCAAAATAGTTCTTTTTCCGTCAATCTAATATCATTTTCTGACAACTGTCACTAGTCATTCCATGTCATCCCTACAGTGAGACGGAATGAAAAGTAGCGACCGGAATCGGGAAAGTTGCGAATAAGACAACACATTAATGTGATTCCGGTGGCGGAATCGTATTTATCCGATAAACGCAACTAAAGTCATCGTTAAGGCGCCTACTGTTCACCAACTGCATATCAATCTTCTAGTGGAGTACATTTTCAATTTGGAATAATAACATTGCGACCCAAAAACTTGTACACCAAACTTCCTTCAACATCTATCTGTATTTGCGCAACTTTGTTTTCATTGGTTCACATTTGTTTTTTGTTTATGCCTATTGGTCAATCCTTCAATAAAAACCGCTCAGAAGTGTTGGCATGATGTAAACAGAGAAAGTCAAAGAAAAAAATCAAGTTCAGCAAGAGCGAGCACAAATGAACAGGCCTATATAATAATTCGCGATAGAAAATAACACGTCGCCCTACCTAACTTTAACACTTCTAAGCTGTTTGTTTCGATGATGTGACCAATTAGCACAAACAAAAAACAAATGTGAACCAATGGAAACAAAGTAAACAGGCCGCTTTGACAGCATTCAAGAACTCCGATAGGTGGCGTACGCTTATTTTCTATTGCGAATATCATCTTCATGTGATAGAATATATCAGAAGCATGATACCTACTCAGGTCTTATAAACACTTATGATGCATATAATTCAGATATTTGTGGACAAAGGAAAAATAGTGTACAAAACTGGTTGGAAAGTGCATTTCCTGTGCTCGTTTCGTTTCCGCACACGTCGCTCTGCGTCTCGTACTAAACGTCCACTCGTGCAAAATAATATGTCACCTTCCACACTAGTTAATGTAATACAGGGTGGAGACTTCAACTGGAATAAATTCGCTACTGAAGGAGTGAATGATTCTTTTGAAAATTCGCGAGACATGTCAACGTTCAAATGTATTTAGATAAATTTGGCGAGCAATACGGAGAATATAACCCATCAGGGGTAGCTAGAATCAACCCCAACAAGTTTTTTTTTTTCAAATGCTACCCTAGGGCTTGTGACCCCTCATTGGAAAGCTGGTTGAAAGAGGAATCCAGGGAACTGGTCATATTTCAGTTTGCAGTACGTTTGAGGGTCGCAAAAAATCAGAATAATTTCGAAGTTTAATATATTTTCAACGTATTTTCATGATAATTTCGAATATTAATGACAGTGATATGGCATTCCCACCAGTATGCAATAACACCTCGTTTCAAACTGTGAATATGGCAAAAAAAAATTTCTTTTTACGGCTCTATAAAAACACTGGAATACAATAGCAGATAGCAGTAGTGGCAAAAAATCGCCATCAATTGTTCAACACACATTTTGAGCGATTGATTTGTTGAAAAAAAAAAGAGTTTTACAATTACATATCAAATTCATGCAATTTTTAAACGTATGAGAAACTAAAATTCGACTAATACACTGGATTCCTCTTTCCACCAGCTTTCCAATGAGGGGTCACAAGCCATAGGGTTACATTTGAAAAAATCATGTTGATGGTGGTTTCAGCTAGGGTCCCTTGATGCAAACTGGCGCATTTGCCATCTAACAGGGTACGGACAGATCACTTTGGTTTCGTGTATTGGCGTCCCTGACATGACATTGCTGTAACTTCACATTCATAGGCGTTAAAATTGATCTTACAAAATTTTAATTTCATACTTGATCTTAATACGACATTATTCAATTCCGTTTTGGAAGGATGGTAAAATGTGCTTCGTTAGGCTGAATCAATCAGTTGGATGGCAAATTTGAATTTGTCAGCTTTCCATCAAATGCAAATGAACTCAGAACATCGGAAGTGAAGTAACCGAATGGGGAAAATTGGTAAATACATCAGCTAAATATTCGAGATAAAACTAATACGAAATCACATATTATACTTTCTTATTGTGCCTATAATTATCCACTCCACAAGTTGTTGGAAGCATGTTAGTAGAAACAGTTTTGATTGAAACGGAGGATTAAAAGAAGAGGCATATGCCCTACCATTTAAAAAATTATACCTACATTCAGGAAATGATAAATGTTCGTGAAAAACTGCAAAACTGATTCTCAACATGAATATATACAGCACATATGACATATGAGCACATTATTTATTTATGTATTTATTTATTTATTTATTTATTGAACAAATAACTTCCAGACAGAATAGGCTCTATACCTTTTCAACTTCAATTTCGGAATCGGTGAGTTATATTTCGGAAAAAGTAATCTCGATTTCAGAATTGGTTAGTTCGATTTCAGAAATGGTAAACTCAATTTCAGAATCGGTGAGATGAATTTCAGAAAAAGTCCATTCAATTTCAGAAATGGTAAGTTGTATTTCAGAATTATTATTGGTAGGTTAAATTTCAGAATATGAAATCCTTTTATATGTTTGAAATGTTTTCAATTGTTGTTGTTGTTGTTGTTGTTCTTTATTACCCCAAGAAACATATTTGTTTATAATAGGGATACATAAACATATGATATATATATATATATATATAAAACAATAAAAAAAAAAACTAATTAACAAGTTATGTCAATATAACATAATAATTAAAATAAAACCATTCCAAGTATTCAAATGAGAATAAATTGCTCCGTTTATTGTGTCATGAGTATATATTTTTTCATATTGACTTTGAATCTTGTTTCATCATCAATATGTTTCAAATCATAAGGTAATGAATTATATAAAATGATTCCGTTGTAGAATACTGATTGTTTGCCAATGATGGAGTTATATGGGTTTGCTATTAATGAATTCAACTGTCTCGTTGCATGAGTATGAATTGTATTTACTTCAGTAAAGTTCAAGTTGGATATTTTTATTTTTTTTCTCACAAAATGGATAAAAGAACAAATTTTCATTTTATATAAAGATGATAAATTCAACAGATTTTTTGGTTTGTAAAGATTAATAGTTGGTTCCAGGTAATGTAAATTGTAAATGCACTTAATTGTTTTATTTTGTAATTTCATTAATGGTTTCAAATGTGATATACTTGTGCTTCCCCAAATTGATATTAAATATTGTAATTTTGAGTAAATCAGACAGAAATATATATTCTTCAAATATCTAAGAGGAATGAAATTTCGAATTTTGTATAAAATGCCAGTAATTGGATTGAGCTTTTTTCTCAGGTGATCTATATGTTTAGTCCACGATAATTGTTCATCAATATAAAGACCTAAGAATTTTGTAATATCTAAATATTTTATGGCTTTCTGGTTGAAAAATATTGTTGTTTTCGACATATCAGTTTTTCTTTTTGAAATATACATATACGTAGATTTGTCATAGTTAAGGGTCAGCTTATGAATTTGTAGCCAAGATGATATCATTTTCAAGTCACTTTTTATATCATCAACTATATCGTTAAATTCTTTAGAGGAATAGATTATTGTAGTATCATCTGCAAATAACTTCAGATCTCCTTTTAGTTTCAAAGATGATATTGAATTGATGTAAATTAAGAATAAAATTGGACCTAAAACGGAACCTTGTGGTACACCACATTTGATTTCTCTTACGGAGCTACAAATATTATTGACTTC